CTATTGCCAGCAATTAGACCGAGTTGCAGCCAAACTTCAGGGAAAACAGGATAAAATTTATTTTTTGCATGACAATGCCAGACCTCATGTTGCAAAATTAACTCGTGAAAAATTACTGGAGCTTGGATGGATTACGGTTCCACATCCACCTTATTCTCCAGACTTGGCTCCTACAGACTACCACTTGTTCCGTTCTCTTTCTAACTATCTGAAGGAGAAAAAGTTCGACGACGAATACGATCTAGAAATGGGACTTCTCGACTTCTTTGACCAAAAGTCGCAGGACTTTTACGAAAGTGGGATCCTTTCTCTACCAGAGCGTTGGCGACAAGTCATAGATAGTGATGGAGCATATATCGCTAAAAGCTAGTTGTATTCTTTGTATTGAAAAAATAAAAATAAATTTAGCAAAAAAAACGACAAAAATTTCTTAACAAGCCAATATTTTTCAATAAAAGTTTATGATGAATTGTAACATTCGAGTATTCATTGATCCAACGCCCTTTCGATGTTCGCATCCACTGTTTGTCACGCATCACATAGACCCGTGATGGATGTGCAGCTGTAATTTTATAATCAAGACTGACTGGATCAACTAATTCAATTGGTACCGATAATAATTATTATCAATCCATTTCCATATTAGAGGTAAGATATGTGGATCAGCAGGACCAAACATACCAAGATCGAGAACATTTCCTATCTGTTTATAAATATCGAAAACATTAATTGTAGTATCAAATTTAAGCCTGTTAAGTAGATTATCCTGATGATCGTAATTATCACGAGCTGTTGTAAAAGAATCTAAACGAAAGGCTGATTGATTATTCGTCGTTTGAAAAGTTTCACGAAGTAATTCAGATAAACATTTTTCATATAAGATATTCTCTGAATTTGCTTCTTTGAGAAAATTAACATTGAGAGGATAGATACCGTAAAATATGCTGACAAGACTTTTTGATGTATACGATGATGTGACTGATGTAACTGTACGAACAGAATTCGTTCAAAGTGAATTAAGAAGTGGTGTCACATTTTCAGCAATTGTATCGGATGTGTAAGTAGATTCTACAGCATTGGCCAGATTGTTGTTTTAATGGTAAAGCATCAGCACGAATTGATTCTAGAACAATGACGAAGACATGTTTAATAGGTTCTTTTAAAGTGACCAAAGGACAAGAAATATCAACAGCTGGTGCATGCATTATTTGAATTACACTATTGAACACAGTTTGGTTCACATAAAATGGCATTAATGGTTTTGTTCTCCAATAATACAAAATTATTTCAGGAAAATATATCAGTATCATGTTCGACGATAGATTTGTATATAGTTCTCGAAGATGATAGAAGACAACAATCAGCATATACGCAAGAATAAGACATGAAGCGAGTATTTTCACAGTCTTGAAATGACCGAATCGTAAGACTTTATGTATCTGAATGTAACGACATACAATGAACCAAAATATACTGAAAACAAAACCTCTACTATGAGATAATCATCACACATGAAACATTGCTGAAATATCTCTAAGATTGAAATTAATCGGAGTTTTGAAATGACAGGTTTTACTTTCGAAAAACAGACATATGTTTTTGATCTTAAGTGTTAATTATACTTTCGTAGTGGTTACAAAAATACATCTTAATTACAATATAAAAATGCCCACTAACAATACAAAGAGTATTTATACGTTTACAGGTTAACATTGAAAGTATCAAAAATCACTAGCAAGCATTTTATTACCCCTTAATTCAAATATAAAATAGCGTAGATAAACCAAAAACCAAGTAAATTAATAATACTTTTTCATTCTCTGTTGAGATGAGTACTAGTAGTAAACAAACTCGTATTATTAACAAAATGAGACGAGTATGAAAATAAAGTTAGAGAAAAATCTTAACGTTCTGAATATTTTGTTATAACCTATGAACTACAATATCATGAAAATGATTCGAATAGTAATGAAAGAAATCGTGATAATTTGAAGTTGCCAAGCATAAACAGTCGAATATTCAGAAAGTAATATGCGTAAAAGGAGTTACCAAAGTACTCATGGGATATTGTTGCAAGAAAATAACTGAAAGATTTATTCTTGCGTGGATCGAATTTATTGTAGGATCTGATCAGAGGTTGGAAGACTTCATCAGAATTAAAAAGAATCTGAGTACGTCATTACTTGAATTCGGATCTTATTCGATTGTTTTCTAAAAACAGATTTTCTCTGATCGAAAAAAAAATGATCAGGGTGTGGGTGTGGTTAGAGAGAAGACCTTCATTCACGTCCACACACCCACACCACAATCTTATTACTGGCGATGAAAAGTGGATGATGTATATCAATCACACGCGCAAGCGACAATGGCTGGGAGTTGGAGAAAGAGGTATACCAACGCCAAAAGATGAACTTCATCCGATGATGGTTATATTGAGCGTTTAGTGGGGCATAAGAGATGTAATTCATTGGGAATATCTTCCAATTGGTAGCACTATCACTGCTGATCTCTACTGCCAACAATTGGATCGAGTCGCAATAAAACTTCAGGAAAAGCAGGATAAGGTTTATGTTTTGCATGACAACGCCAGACCTCACATGGCAAAGTCAACGCGTGAAAAATTATTGGAGCTTGGATGGACTACGCTTCCACATCCACCGTATTCTCCAGACTTAGCTCCTTCTGATTACCATTTGTTCCGTTCTCTTGTCAATCATTTGCATGAGAAAAATTCGATGACGAAAACGACCTTAAAATGGACCTCAACAGCTTCTTCCGCTGAAAGTCCCAGGAGTTCTACGAACGCCGGATCCTTTCTCTTCCAAAGCGTTGGCGACAAGTCATAGATAGTAATGGAGCATATATTATTGGAACTTAGTTGTATTTTTGTAGTTAGAAAATAAAATAAAATTTTTTTTAAAAAACGCAAAAACTTTATTGCCAACCCAATACATTCAATCAATGACAGTGACTTGTACAAAGAAAAAAAACTTTCGTATTTAAAATAATCGATCAACAAGAAATTCCACGTCTTAGTTGAGATATAAACATTAAAATCTTCATTTATTCTGCAGGACAAGGCAGGATGAAGAACATGCCGTGTAGACGCCTCTGTTGCTCATCTGCAGAACCACAATAGAAAATGAAGTTTTCATTGCAAGAAACCGTTACTATAATCGGAAACGCTTTCTAATATATGGCATTGGTTGTGATTATGGGTAGTTTTAGCGATTTTATGTGTCTTACATACTGCACTTTAAACAAGAAATATAGAATATATTTTTTCTACTTTTGTTAGATCAAGATAGATAAGTTAGTATGAAAGTATAAGAAAAAATATGGCGAAAACTGAATAATATTGACGAAAAATGTTCATGTAGACAAAGTTTGTTGTCACTTCAAGTCAAATAATTGCGATAGAAACACACACAGAAAACAGAGAAATGATGTCATGGCGATTGTAGTAGATCTTTTATATGCGCCAGATGTATAGCTTGAAAAGGGCACGTTTTCTGAACCAAAATTTCCACCTGAAAATATACTGTTGATTCCTATTATGCATCCACCGCTTGGACATACGTTGCATCTATTAGAATAACAACAACTGTAGGTCGATCAGCAGATGTACTGTATACCTTGTATAGTGTCTATGTACGAATTACTATAACCGCAAAGATCCGTCATACCTTTCATCAACATTGTAACAGAAGCATTGTTAACGGATGAAGTGCAATAAGTTGTAGGAGTCTGAAATGTCATTCAATATATCCTTAGTTACGATGAGTTACTAGAGCAGATATACATACCATGCAGACATCGGCAGTGGTCTGTGATAATGAGTTACATAAATAGGAGGGCTGATAGGTGCATTCATTGCAGATCAAGCCTTCTGTAGAGGCAAAAACTGAAACAAATATTCATCTCATCAAAGCTCTTTACATATAAAAATTACACTCACTGAAAACGATGATTAAAAGAATCTTGAAAGACATCTGAAAAATCATAGCCATTTAATTTTGACAAAGTTTTAATCAATTAAACGAAACAATCAACAACGGTCTAGTTTATATCTATTACAACGTGATGTTTGTGTCGGTTTCTTTTTGTTGCAAGAAATAGTTTTTAATGCACAGAATATTTCTCGATCTAGAATTATTATATACAAATCGCAATACATTATAACACAATGATTTTGTAAAATAACTACTTGTACGCAAGAGCAACGAAGGCATTTTGGTAAGTAACCCATTTATATC